GGGGCGGGGCCTGGTCTCTCTCTGGGTCCCTGGGGGCGGGGCCTGGTTTCCCTTTGGGCCCCTGGGGGCGGGGCCTCTCGGGCTTCCCCTCCCTGTGCCTTCTCTTACCCCGATCCCCGCCCAGCTCCCGGTCCAAGTCTGGCGGTGCTGACCCAGAGAGCAGTGTTTGAGCGGTTGCAGAGGACCCACGGTCCTGAGGGGAAGGAGGGTAGGGCAGGCATCGGGCACAGCCCAGGCAAAGGCCCAGAGGTGGGAGGTGGAGTGTTGCTTCACTGCCACACCTGACCCCATCCCCAGAGGCCAGGCCTCTGTTTCCCACCTTTGTTTGCTGCTTCTGCAGTTTCTGCTCCGGTGGGGGGGGTGGGGGCGCCCATCTCTGCGGCAGCCTCTGGTGCCGCTGCTCTGCCCAGGACCCGGGTCCTGGAGGGGAGGGGAGTTTTTCTTTGCCCGTGTTCTCCCAGGTGCATGCCTGCTGCTGCATCTGGCAGGTGGGCTGGCGGGACCCTCCTCTGGGGGCTCGCAGCCTTGCAAGGGAGTGAGTGAGAGACACAGTGGGCCCTGGGGCTCACGTGCCTGGAAATGTGGAGCATGGAGCACATGGGGCTACAAGGGAAACCTGGGCGGAGCCCCAGGCAAAAGCCTCTGCCCTGAGGGTCCAGAGAAGCCCTCTCAGGAGGGCGTGGCCAGTGGCCAAGTCATCAAAGGTGTGCGCTGGCCCTTGGAAGTCAACCAGGGATGTGAGCGCTGTGCCCGTGTGGCCGTGGCATGGGCCAGAAGATGCCCCGGAGGAGCTCCCGGTCTGATGGCCCAGATTTAGCCTGCCACCTGGTAACTGCTTGGTGAGGGTCAGCGACTGGCTGGCATGTGTCACGGGGAAGGACTCCAGTCTGGTGGCCCCTGTCCTCAGCACCATCGTGGGGCCTGGAGTCGAGGTGGGGGACGAGCACGGGGGGTGCAGCGGAGACAGGTGGAGGCCGAGTTAAAATCACACGCTAGCCGATGAAGCGGATGCCCCTGGCCCAGCCGTGGACCTTCGGCCACGCCAGCAGGTGGATGGTGTGAACTCGGGTTTGACGTCATCTCCCACCGACGCGATGCAGTCTCCCTGGAGAGAGGATCTTCACAGGCCCTGCCCCTTTGGTCTGCCTGACAACCAACCATGAAAGCTCTGTGGCCTCGGCTGGTCCTCAAGATCTGGTTGGGCTTCTCATTTAAAAAGTAGGGTTTGTTAGGTACTTGGAAGCACGGATGTGTGCACGTGATTGAAACTAAAGTAAACTAAGGCACAAAGCTCGAAGCACAGTCATTACCGATGCCAGGGGTGTCTCGACTTGACATGTTCAGCCACAGGCCACGAGGTGGGGCTTCCTGGCTTTCGTGTGGTTTGGGGAGCACAGGAGAGCAGAGAACAGGTTGCGTCACTGATGGAAAGTAAGAGGACCGGCCCGACGTCTGGGATGCAGGGTTAGCTCGAGGGAAGCCAATGGGCATGGGTGAAGGACGACTGGCCGGGCACCCCCATGGGCCTCCCTTCAGCATGCACGGGTCGCGAGATGTGGAGAGACCACGTGCTTCTTTGAGGCGGCTCATGGGCCGGCTGGACTGGCTGTCACAGAATATCTGAGTCAGCCGTCACATCACTGTTGATGTCCTCACGTCTTGAACTGAGAGGGGAAAGGGGCCGTTACAGATGAGGAGACAGAGGCTCAGAGAGGGCCACCGGCCAGCAAGGGAGCCCTGGGGCACTGTGGAGTCGGGCGAGCTCAGCATCTGCTGCGTGTGGCACGGTAGGCTCGATGGGGCCAGGCTATGCTGGAGGCAGACTTCCTGCTCGTGAGAAGCTCGTGTTCCCCGGGAGAGACCCTGAAGAATTGGAACCTCCCAGCCCAGAGAAACCAGCAAAAGAATGAGAAGATGCAGTGGCTGGGCGGTCCACGCTCTTGGCCCAGCGTGGGCGCTTAATCGGCGCCTGGAAGAGCCTGGAGCAGAGATGGGGTGGAAGAGAGCGAGTCGTATAAGCCGGAGACCGAGAAAGGAGGATGTGCTGGGCCAGGAGGCAGCGCGCCTGCCCCCACCCCCACGGGTGCTGTCAGGCCAGCCACGTGCCGTGTTCCACGGGGATTGCGGTGGAGACGAGCGATCTCGATCTCCACCTTCCACCCCATTCCTGGGGAGACAGTGCCCTGGGTTTGCAGTGGAGGGGCTGGTTGGAGGGGAGGTCTTTGGTGGGGTGCCCCGGAGATCTGTGCTTTTGTCCATCACCAGCCAGTCTGGACCCAAAAGCCCACGAAGCTTCTCCTTCCACTTGGTGACCTCATCGGCTCCCGGGGGTTACTGACTCTACTCTCGCTGACCCCCAGTCTGGCCTCTCCCTGAGTGAATGAACAGAGCGTTTGGTAAACACCTACTACGTGCACGGTTTCTACAAGAAGCCTGTCCTAATCCTCGTTGAGCTGCCTCCCCTAAGGATCCCCCCCTTTGCCCTAGATACATCTGGGGGGACGTGGTCATTGGCCTGCACCTGGTGGGCAGGGACCTTTGTTTCTGACTTTGCCTGAGCCTTGACATAGGGCCAGGCATGTAGTAGGTGCTCTCCGGGGGTCCCCGCTCGCTGTCCTTCGTAGAGATGACCTTGTGAAAAGAGCAGAGGGCAGAGGAGGGGAAAGAACGCCTTGGGGCTGCTTGGTTCTCAGCATATGCTGCTCCATTTTTCTTGTTTTCTGGGGCCCCTGAGACCTTGCCTTCTGCCCACACTCACACACATCCCGCTGGAGTGGGAGCTGCATGAGAGGCAGAGAAACTGGGCCTCCTTCCCCTCCCGGGCTCTCTGTTCAGGAGGTGCCATCCTGCTAGAGAGAGTGAGAGACAGAGCGTGCGTGTGCCCATGTGTGTCTGTGCTCGTGTGTGTGCCGTGTGCGTGTCTGTGCTCACACACGTGCCTGCGTCTGCCACGTGGGTCTGTGCTCACACGTGTGCCTCTGCGTGCCCACGTGTGTCATACCAGTGTTTACGGATGCCTTGGAGCCTCTCCTGGATCTGGGCACTGCTGCTCATTGTTGAGTCTGAGGTGCCGAGCTGAGCCCCTCGTGCAGGGCCTCCCCGTGACTCGTGGCTTGATCCCGGTGTCTCCAGGGCCGGGAACAGGATGTGCGCAGAATCCTGCAGGCTCTGAGCGAATGTCTCAGGGCTCTCCCTGCGTGGCAGCTGCAGAGTGTTCGTGGCATCGGCGTGTCAGGACAGATGCACGGGGTCATGTTTTGGAAAAGCCACCAAGGTAATGGATCTGTCACCCCAGGGGGAAGGGCCCCTGTTCCAGCACTGAGAGTTCCATGGCAGCCACCCTGAAAAGGGCAGGGGGCAGAGGCCAGTCTGGCCCTGGGTCAGGAGTCGCAGCAGCCAGGAGCCACTTGGTGCCTCCCTCAGGGGCGTCTGGTTCAGGACTGGATCACAGCTTGGCCGGGGCGGGGCAGACGGGACAGGGGAGCAAGTCCTGGCCTTGGGGTCAGGGCTGCCTCAGACCCTGGTAACTAAGTCACGTCTCCTCTCTGCCTCAGTTTCTTCTTCTTCCGTGGGGGTCTTAGTCACTCCTCCCACGGCCAAGGTCAGCACTGTGAGCTCTGAGGTGGTGACTGAGTCGTGAGGCAGTCCAGGCCCTCTCCCTGGCGGCCCCTGACCTCCGGTGCATCCACTCAAAGAGCCCGGGGCAGTGATCAGGGTGGGGTTCAGGCGGCTTTGTCTTCAGGGCCAGCTGCGCCAAGTGTCTCTGCCCGTGGGGCCCCTCCCCTCTTGGGCCTCTTGGGACAGAGCTAGCATATTGCAGGGTTGGGACGTTTGGGCCTGGTTCCAGAGCCTGACACACGCATCCCCAGGCTGCCCTCCCAACGCTCAGGCCTCTGCCTCTGGCCGCCATCCCTCCTGGGATCCGTGGCTGCCCCTGCTCAGGGGTCCCGCCCCCTCCCTCTAGGTGTTAGCCCTGAGGAGGCCCTTTTCACCTTCCCCACCCTATGTAGTCTACAGCCACAAGCATTGATTGTGCACTTGCTGTGTACCGGGCACTGTGCTGGGCACGTGCCCAGCCTCCCAACAGCACTCTCACCTCACTCCATAGTTGAGGAAACAGGCTGAGAGCAAGGAAGAGATGAGCCCAGGTGCGCACCACGGGGACCCCATCTGGTGTCTGAGACCTGACGTGAGGCCCAGTCTTCTGGCCATCTCCCCCCACAGCAGCCACATCCTCAGTCAAGCAGCTCTGAGGGCAGTGTTAGGAAGCGGGACGGGGCTGAGGCTGGGGCTGGGACGGGCTCGGCCCCGCCGTGGCTTGTGTCACGTCAGGCCTTGAGCGTCCAGAGACGTGGCTCCTTTCAGCTTGCTCTTGGTCAAAGAGCGGTCCCCACGGCATCTTTGAGCCGCAGCAGGTCAGCCGCCTCATTACCTGGCAGGATGGCCGCTGTACCAACAGCTTTCTGGCATCCCTCCCGCGGCCCGAGTCCCACCTGAGTGTGGCGACAGGATTTGGCTCCGCTACCATCTACTGGCTTCTGCGCCACAGGTAGGCCCCAGGGCCCCAGAGTGGAGCCTCTGCGTCCCTGGGGGCCGAGGCCAGAGGGCTTCCTTGTACCTGGGTCTTCACCTTTGGAAGCATTTTCTTTCACTTCATCCCCGTTCCCCCCGTAGCGGTGTCCTGCCGTCACCTCAAGGGCAGGGGAGGCGGGCCCCCTCCCATTGCCTTGCCCTGGTTTCCTGGCTCCTCTTCCCAGGCTTCAGCTCTCAGGACCTCTCTCTGCACCCCAGAAGTGTGGGTCAGAGCCCAGGAGGCTCTGCCACTTTGGCCCTGGCGGCAGCGTCCAGTGACTAACTCCTTAGAGCAGCGATTGGGGGATGCTAGCTCCGATTCAGACCCCTGGGTGGCACACCACGTGGTTTTCGTTTTTGCCGACAGCCCCGAGTTCCTGAAGCCATATAGTGCGGCAGGCACCATACAGGACTACGTGGTGGCCATGCTGTGCGGCCTCCAGAGACCCGTCATGTCTGACCACAATGCAGCCAGCTGGGGGTACTTCAACACGGACAGCCGGAGCTGGAATTTCCACATGTGAGTCTCTGACGCCGCTCGGAGTCTGCTGCCAAGGGTGTGGGCGGTGGGCCGCCGGGAAGGGGGAGGCTGTGGCTGCCCTTCCCCCCTGAGTGCTCGGCCGGCTGGCTTCGGGTCTCTGGTGCCCTGGCACCATCTTGGCTTCGTTCTTGCCGATCTCCCACGATGGGTTTCTGGGGACCCCCTCCCCGTTCCCCTCCCTACAGTCGGGCCTGCAGAAGCTCCCCTTGGGGTTGGCGGGGGCCCCCTTGGAGGCACAGGTGCAGCTTCTGGGTCCCCTAAGCCCGTTTTGCTTTAGAGGAGGCGGTGCCCCAGGCAGCGGCGGGACGCCGCCTTCTTTTACAGTTTGGAAGAGTCTGGCTTTCCCACCCACCTGCTCCCGGACGTGGCTGAGGCTGGTGCCATAGCAGGGCAGAGCACCCACCAGTGGTTCGGTATCCCCCAGGGGACTAAAGTCGGCGTGGCCCTGGGGGACCTTCAGTGCTCCGTGTACTCCTGTATGTCCCGGAGCACGGACGCAGGTGAGAGCAGGCAGTACTGCCAGTGATGCCGTCACTCATTTGGCAGCACCATCCTACAGTGTGTGTCCATCAACCAGACCAGACCGTCCTTGTTTATTCAGAATCAGGTGATTCCAAGAAATAGGCAGTGAGATTCTCCTTGGAGAAGGCACCAGGCCTGCACTCTGTGATTTAGACAGTGCTGGCGGGCAGAGATGGGGATTTTGGTTCTGCATGCCTTCCTGGCCAGCCTGTTTCTGTGGCATGTTAGACTCCTCCCTGGCCTTGTGTGCGAGCTACTGCTCACACACTGGACTTGGTCCAGCCTCTGTCTGAAGAAAGCTGACCCTGACCCTGCCCTTGCCCGTAGCTGTGACCCATGCCCCCACCAGCACCCCTGCCCCTACCTGCCCGATGAAGCATGTCACTTAGCCCAGCGAGGCAAGGGAAGGTCAGTCCCTCAGTCCCCACCTGGCCCCGCCTTGGCCGCTCAGGGTCATGGTCCAGGACTAACTTAGTCTTCCTCTCTGGGTGCTCAGTTCTCAACATCAGCACCTCCGTGCAACTGGCAGCCTCCATGCCTCCAGGGTTCAAGCCTGCAAAATGCTCTGATCCTTCAGCCCCAGTGGCTTACTTTCCCTACTTCAACCGGACCTACCTTGGAGTAGCTGCATCCCTCAATGGTGGCAACGTGCTGGCCACGTTTGTCACCATGCTGGCTCAGTGGATGGCGGATCTAGGTAAATCAGCCCCTGGGGCAGAGGAGCATCGATTGAACACCTACTGTGTGTGCAGGCCCTGGGCTTGGGCTAAGGATACAAGGAAGGCAAAAGACAGTCCCTACCCTCAGGGAGCTCCTGTACAGACAGGACAGATTGGAGAGAAGCAGTGAAAGGCCTGGGAAAGGCTTCTTGAAGAAGGTGAGACTCAGCAGAAGCTAGGGAGGCCCAAAGACAGTGGAGGAGAGAAAGCATTCTAGGCAGGGGGCACAGCTGGTGCAAACACTCAGAGTCTGGAGATAGAGGGTCTCATGCAGGGAACTGCCAGGAGGCCAGTTCCTGGCTCCCAGAGTACATGGGGGGAAGGGTGTAACCAAGGGGGGAGGGTGGTAAAGTCTCTTGATGGCCATGCAAAGTTCACTTGTTTGACATTTGCCAAACACATGTCAGTCACCCACTGCATGCAGAGAGTACCGTGGTAGGTGCTGGTAGGGATCCAAAGTTTAGAGGAGTGTGACCCAGAGATTTCAAAAAATGGGGAAATTGAGGCCGAGAGTGGTCACACCGGAGGGAAGCCTGGGCCTCAGTCTCTGCTGCTCCATTGCCCCAGGTCCTGCTGGGCTTTCAAGGGCACAGGTGGAGGCGGACGCCTTCACCGAGTTAGAGAAGAGGCAGCCTGGGTGTACAGGGGGCCTTGAATGTCAGGCAGAGCGTTTGGAACAGCCCTCAGAGGTAGGTGTCATTCAGAAGGTGGTTTAAGATGGCAATGGGAAGGGTCTTGTAGAGCAAGCGGAGAGGGGAGGATGTGACAGAGGAGAGGACAATGGGACGTGCAGGTATCCCTTGGGGCTGGGAGAGGGGTGAGACCCAGAGTCCCAACATGCCAGGCCCAGGAAGCGAGGAGCCAGGCGCAGCTGCAGAGTTGGAGAAAGATGGAGGCCTGGAGTTGTGAGACATCTGGGGGAGGGCCAGGAGAGGACAGATAGACCCTTGGGAGCTGGGGTAGGTGTGGCACCTGGAGGGCAGGCAGGAAGGCCTCTGGACTTGGTGATCATGGTGGAAGCTGGCCAGGGGCTGGGGCTGAGTGAACGGCACAGAGAGGGTGGGGATGAGAATGCCTGAGTGAAGGAAGAAGTGGGGCTCTGGAGGCAGGAGTGGGGGCATCCTTCCAGCGAAGCAGGGGGTCCTGCTGTCTGCCGTAAGAACGGCGGTGGCAAAGAGTAGAACAGCATTCTTTGGAGATCTTGGAGAGGTCACAGCAGCAAGGCCTCTACTGCCCTGGGACGCACCTTTAGGGGCCTTCGCTGGGCAGGGGAGGGGCTTCAGGGTGCCATGGAGACTTGTATCCCAGCATAAACCCTGGCACACAGTAGGTTTTTAGTTCATATCTAAAAATGCTTTGCTGGGTTTGGGACTTGAGCAGCGCAAATCTGCTTGGCTCATGCAGGTGTCAGACCCCGTGAGCCTGGCACTGTTTCTCACCACTGAACTAACGAGCCCCTGGGTGGGAGGGGACAGTTCATTGTCCCCTCCCACTCAGGAAATCTGTGTTCTCAGTGCATCAGGGAAAACACCCAAGGGCTGACTGGGTGCATTGACATTTTCTTTATTTTGGTAGGATTGGATGTTCTGGAGACGCTTATTTATTCACAGATGATCCAGACGGCCTTGGCCCAGACAGACACCCAGCTCACCATTAATCCGACTCTCTTGGGAGAGAGACACCTTCCCGAAGAGCTGGCGTCTGTGAGCAGCATCTCTCCCTCCAATCTCTCTCTTGGGCACGTGACCAGAGCTTTATGCCGTGGCATCGCTCAGAACATCCATGCCATGCTGCCGTCTCAGCAGCTGAAAGAGTGGGGTATAGAACGGGTGATTGGCAGTGGCAGCGCCCTGTCCAGAAATGAGGTGCTGAGGCAGGAAGTGGAGAAGGCCTTCCCCCTCCCCTTCTGCTATGGCCAGGACGTGGATGCTGCAGCTGGTGCTGCCCTGGTGCTGCTGCAGGAAAGCCCCAGGAGGACAGTTGAAGAGCCCCAGGGGGACAGCTGAAGAGCACCAGAGGCCTTGCTTTTTCTAATCGTTCCTGATGGTATCTTGATTTCTTCACTTGGGTATATGCTCTGTCCGTTCATCGATAGGGGTGGACTGATCTCCAAGCAGGCCCCTGGGGAACCCAGACCCCTTGGAAGTAGTGGGGAAAAGAAGGACCCTGAGTCCGCCTTGGCATGCAGTCTGGCAGTGGCCCTTGGTCCAGAGCCACCCTCCAAGAAGGAAAAGCTGAGCACAGTCACTACCCTGTTGCGCCAACTGCTCCTTCCTGGGAGCACCCTTTTAGTGATTCCCTAGTGGGCAAGGAGAGGGTGAACACCATCATTCTTTAGTAGCTGGAAAAGGGCGTTGGTACCAAGAGTTAGGACCTGGCTTCTCTCCCGATCTCACGCTTTAAACTACCATCTTGGAAAAGGCCCAAAGACATAGCTGACTGGTCTGCCACTGGCAGCAGGGTGGCATAGATATACTGAATGCCTTTCCAGGAACACGGATGAGTTTGAGCCAGTTTATCATAGATGGTTGCTTAGGGTTGTTTGGGCTCATAAACATGCTGACGGGAGAGCTGGCCAGGGTTCAGGAGGGAGTCTGTGGCCCTACAGTGTGCTTTTCCAAACCCAAACAGAGTCAGCCAGCTAAGCTGCTGCAATATAGTAGGCCTAACTCTCAAGCCACAAGACCAGGCTTTTAACAGGCCATCCGAGATGACAGCTGTGGAAGTCGAGGGTATCGAATGCAAGCGATTGTTTGGTATCATGTCAGCAGCAGCACCCTTGCTGGCTGTGGGGTTCTCAGTGGCTGCTTTCGGAGTGCCTGACCACCACAGTACCACTGCCATTCCTGGGGTTCTTTGTGTTATTAGATATTTGGGGGGGGCAGTCACCAGTCATCGATGAGCCCCACACCCCTTATTCATCTAGTTCTGTGAAGTCCAGGGATGGTCCCCGGCCCTTTTGTGGGGTGGCGGTTCTTCTGTAGCCAGACAGCTGTAGACACCTGTTGCTCTCCTTTGCAGAATAACGATGGTAAAATCAACCATAAAGATTTGGATCCCCAAGTGTTTTTAATCTTCAACTCATTAATAGGGAAGCTGCTAGAAAGGCTTCCTAAGACACTACTCAGACCCTGCCGGAAGTTGATATTCCTCCTGAACACCCAGTTCCCCAAGACACTGGTCAGCCCGAGGGTGACCAGAATGCCGCAAGGCTGGAAGTGATAGCGGATGGAAAGAGCTGAAGCAAGTGGGGCCATTTGGCCTGAAGTGGAGACTTGGAGTTGACCTGATGGCAGCTTGCAGATGCCAGGAGGGCTGCCGTGTGGAAAAGGAATTGGCCTTGCTTCAGGCAGAGGAGCAATGGGGTGGAGGGCTTGGCTTGAGTGGAAGGGCCTGGCTGCTCTCCAGGGTCCCCTGCAGCGAGTTGCATGCTTTCAATATTGACTGCGTGAGATTTTAAGTATAAATAGAATCATCGTATTACTTGGCCGTCATTGCAGAGCTTGGCACATAAATGCTTATTGATTGTTTTGTGAACCTCTTTTTATAAAATGGATTTGATTCCTGTGGAATAATTGTCATAATGTTTTGTATTGATTAAACGGCAGGGCTCTAGAAACTCATGAAGCTGATGGGTGTCTTCATTGAAAGTCCCCACTTGTATTGGGAAGGCCCCTGTTCTTGGATGGCCGTGAAGAGGTGGCCATCCTGAGCTCCAGTCCACATCACCAGCAGCACGCTGGCCATCTCCACCTGGCTCTTCACTGACCAGTTCGGGCCGGCTTTCTTCACAACCCTGTTTGCTGCAGGAAAAGTGTATGAAATTCGGAGCCCTTTGCAAAGCTTCCCAGCTGGTTAATGCCTGAGTTAGATCCAGCAATACAGGGCCTGAGCACAATGAATCACCGAGCTCTGGCCTCAAGATTTCCCATCAGGGTGTGTGTTCCAAATACCAAACATGTGATCTCTCCATAATAATAACAACTTCTTGTGCAAAATAAAAAGTGATTCATCATGTGACTGAAAACAAAAGCCTGGCTCTTCCCTGATTGCCCGGGCCGCTCCCTGGCTCCAGGACCTTTGGCATCTCCCTAGGATCAGATGGTGATTCCTCTGCTGGGCATTTAGGCTTTTTACAACCTGCTTGTGGCCTGTTTGTCCAGGCTAGTTATTCATCACTCCCTTTCAGGCGCTCTGCCATCCGGACAAGTGACTCGCTTGCCGTTGTTCTAGAGGCGGTCCCACCTTCTGTCTGTGCCTCCTGATTCTGCCTTCTTCCTCCAAAGCTCAGCTCAAGTGCCAGCCACAGGAAGCTGCCACCCCAAAGACCACCTTGCATTGATTTTTTTGTCTATTTTACTCTATTTTGTCTTCTAATAGGGGTACCTTTCGTTACCCCTTGAAGGTAGGGTCAGTCTTTCACATCTCTCTTTATGTTGGGGGGGGGTGGCTGGCACTGAATAAGCTCTTGATAAATGCTTGCTGGTTGGTAGAATGAGAGGCAATGTCCAGCAGGTGATGGAAAACTAGCTCAGGAGAGAGGTTGGGGCTAGAAATCCACATTTGGTTGAGAAGTTACAATACCTGACATGTCTATAGTGCTTTATGAGCATCAACTCATTTAATCCAACAACATAGGAAGAGAATATTGATGGGGTATGGGCCCAAGCTGAGACCTTTGCCACTTACTCCAAAAAGAATTTGGGTCCTATTTGTCCAAGGGATTCTCCTTGAATTCTCCCGTTTGACCTAACTGGTCTCTGGCGTTCCCCTGAGGCCATGGTCTTATCAACTGGCCTTTCATTATCGCCCAATCTCCCAATTCTCTGTAGCCCTTCACCTGGCCTAGCCCTCCATTGTCTTACCTGCCTGGGGCCCCTGGCTGCTTCCCATCCTTGACCCTATCTAGACCCCATTCTCAACCTCCCAGTCACTCCCATCAAGATCCTTCCTAGATCCCTCCCGAAGTCTTTCAGTGTATAAGGTCCATCTAGTCTCCATTAAGGTGCTCAGATTTTTACAATCCAGCCAATAGCTCACACATGCTCAGATCCCTTAAGAGTCTGGCTAATATGGGAGATCTTTAACAAATCTTGTCCCTGGCTGAAAAAAGGCTTGGGTCGAATTCCTTCAGGCGGGACCTGCGTGTGGTGATTTTGGGGTTCCAGCATCCCTCAACCTCTAGACCTCATCAATATCATCCTCCCATTTTACAGGTGGGGAAACTAAGGCCTGGAGAGGCTAAGGAATTTGCCTGGAGTCACACAGTTGAGGCCAGGATTTGAGTCTATCAATAGTGTAAAAAACAGAGTTGTACTGACTTGTCATTCCCTGAGGGCTGGAAAAGAAAAGTTCAATCCCTTTCCTCAAAGATAGGACAATTTTCTAAATTGTCCAAGAGATGAAGCAATTCTGTCTCACGGGAGGAGGGGGACCCAGCCAGAGTAGAAGTCCAGGGGCGTTTTAGGTGAGGGCATGGAGGGGAAAGGGTGCAGCTAGGTGGCACAATCGAACACTGGCCTTGGGAGTAGGATGATGCATTTTCCTGAGTTCAAAATGGGACCTCAGACCCTTACTAGCTGTGTGACCCTGGGCAGGTCACTTCACCCTCTTCACCTCAGTTTCTCATCTGTAAAACAAGCTGGAGAAGGAAATGGTGAACCCCTCCAGTATCTTTGCCAAGAAAACCCCAGATGAGGTCTCAAATGACTCGGTCACAGCTGAAATGATGCAACTACGTGGTGGTGAAAAGGACCCTTAAGGAGAATCGACTCAGCAAGGCAGGGCAGAACCGTGGGGATGGGGAGAAAAATGACGAGAAGACTTCGAAGGGCAGCTCAGGTTCCCAGTCTGGACGGCTGTGAGAGCCAGGAAGGGGTGGGGAGTGAGTTGGTAGACGTGTTCAGGACACAGCAGAAAGGAGGATTGAGGCTGGAGGGAGGAGCACCTGGCCCAGGATGAAACAGAGAAGGGCCAGCCTTAATTACGGGAGGGAGGAGGGCAGGGAGCAGCAGCCCGGCCTGCTTGGAATGCTGTAGGTGGGGATTCCTGCCTTGGGCAGAGTGGGGGCTGGGGCCCAGACTGGACAGCCTCTTCAGAAGGCCCTTTGTAGCCCCCTGACCTCTGGTGGGCTAGGCCTGTGGAGGGAGGCAGGAAGTCTTTACCGGAGCCCTAGCTCTGGACAGGCAGCTGCCCCTGAAATGATTCCTTGGACATCTCCTGGGACACCAGGGGGAGTCCAGTCATCAGAAGCCCAGCCCCAGGAATCCTGCCATGCTGGGAAGGCAGGTTCGAGAACAGGCTTGGTCTCAGTGTGTGGCCTGAGGTCCTGCCCAGCCTTGGGGTGGAGAGGCCCAGTGCCAAACAGGCCACGATGGGCTTTTGGCCCCTGCTGTCTCATCAGAGGGGGGCCTCCCTCCTGCTTCTCCCTCTTCTTCCCGATGAGCCCCCAGGGCCCTGCCCACCCAACCCCTTTCTCTTGCCCTCCTGCAAAGCAGCACCTCTGCGATGCTCAGGAGCTACATCCTTGACAAAGAGCCTTTCTCCCAGCCGGCCTGCCTGGCTGAGTCAAGTCTTCCTGATGTCATGTTTTTTATAGATGCTTGTGCTGTGGAGGAGAATTAGCTCCTGTTGTGGCTGATTGCCTCTTAATGAATCTCACAGGCAGACATTCTCCTCCTCTAAGCATTATGAAGAATCCTCTGGTGTCCGGTTGATTGGGCCAAGATTGGGCCAAAGGCGAGAGAGTTGGTTGAAACTCTCTGGAGTTCCACAAATAGCTTCAGCCTAGAAAGGTCTTTGCAGATCAATTAAAACAATCTATACTCCCTAAAACATTGCCTCAGCCCCCACCACAGCCCACCCCCCCCCCCCCGTCCCCCCCCCTTTTTCCGGCCCAGGCTCAGAAGCCCCTCACCCTTGGCTGTGCCCACACCAGCAGTGGGAGTGGGGAGGAGGGGGTCGGGAACGCAGAGAAAATCTGCAGGTGGACACTTGTCTGACTTGTGTGTTTGCAAAGAAGACTTTGGCCAGGCCATTACTGAAAGCCCCTCAATGTGCCCCTGAACTCAGATTCCCAGGAATGGAGCAGACCTAGAGGGAGGCCTCCAGAAGAAAGCATTTTGCACCTTATGCGAGGTCTGCAGATCTCTACAGAAGCAGATGAAGACTGGTGGAGTCTGGGGTCGTGACCAGAAGATCCTGGGAGGGGCACTGTCAAGGCCCAAAAGCATGAGGGTTGGAGGTTGTCTTTGTCCGAGGCCCAGAGAGATGCAGCAGCTTGGAAAATGTCACCTCTGTCCCAAAGCCCGTTGGGGTGAGAATCTCCCTTTATTGGTGGAGATGAGTCTCACTGGGAGGGAGTGAAGAGCTGAGCCCCAAGGCTGGGCTCTTCCCACTGGACCATCGTTCGCTGCCCTCCGAAGAAAGCGAGTGCATTGTGTGGTCTTTCCCAAGCTATTCTCCACAAGCCCTCCCCACGCCCTCCTTCAGGCCGCCATCTCCTCTCACCGGGACTATTGCCAAGGCTTCAGAATCAAGCACTCTGCCCCAGGTCCCTCCCCACTCCAATCCGTGCTCCAAGCCACCCCAAAGTAATTTTCCTAAAGCGTAGGTTAGACCATGTTACATATGCCTCTCCCCACAATAAATCCCAATATCCTCCTCATGTCTCTAGGCTCAATCGAATCAACAATTATTTATGAAGCATTCCCATGTGCCAGGCACTGTGCTTGGTGCTGGGGGTCCAAGGAAGAATGAAATCATCCCCACCCACTGTGAGCTTACATTCTAACGGGTCAGATAAGGACGTATAAAAACCGAGAGGACGGCATCAGGAGAACGAGATGAAATCAAACACACCACAAGGTCAGGTGGGAGAGTGGGCACCCGCAGTTGTGGGAGGGGGGTGATCAAGGAAGGCTTCACAGCACAAGGCATTAAGTTAGGCTTCGAGTTAGTCTCTAGCCCTAACCCTAAATGTGCACCTGAGCAGCATTTTAAAGGAGGGAAGGGAGAGGGAGAGGGTGTCACGAATGGAGGATGCGCCCAGGACAAAGGCGCCGCACACAGGGGATGCTCCACGTGAGGAACAGCGAGGCCAGTTTGCCATCCGACAAGGCTGGAAAGACGGTGGCACCTGGGTGTCAGACTGAGAGCTAACCGGAAGATTTTCTTCTACATCTGAGAAGTGAGAGGGTCGCACTGGCATTGATGGGGGCGGGGCTTGACCCGATCAGGTCTGGCCTTGAGCAGAATCACTTGGGCAGCCGTGAGGACGTGAGCCGAGGCAGGCGACCATTGGCTATTGGGGGGTTGAAGGTGGTAGCTATGGGAACTGAAGGGAGGGTTTGGATGCCCGGGATGTTCTGGAGGATCTGCGGACTGAGGGGGAGGGAGGATCAAGGGGGACACAAGTTTCAGAAGGCAGCAGGGCATTTGACAGCAAGAGATGAGTTTGGAAGAGGGGGGGGTTTGGGGAAAACGGGGAGTTTAAGCTGTGTCTGGGACATCTGGTTTGGTGTAGGACTGAAGTCAGGGGAGACCCTGGAGATCCAGAATAGACTTCACTGTTTGGCTTGGAGAGTCGTGGCCCCCGCCCCTTTCCCCCTTTTTTGGCTGTTCCCCCC